CGGGTGTCAGCACGAAACCTGGACCACTTTGGTTGCCGATTTTTTTTGTTTTCAACGATGCCCAACGCCGCACGGCCCCTCCGAGTTTTGCTTGTGGCGACTAAAACTTTCTGCAAGGCTGGGGCCGTGTACTTGCGGCTTAAGAACCCTTTTTTTTTTTGGACCCAATGGACCACTGCTCAGATCATTGAACTGATCAGATTGATTGCCACCTCCGCAGACAAAATCCGAAAGCTGCATAGGTGGAAACTTAAACCACCAGTACTTCCTGAAAACGCTCCCGTATACGCGGGGCGAAATTTGGAATGAACGGGCCTGGGCCGGTAGGCCCGATTCAGCCAAGTGGAAACGGCGCGGTTTCCACTTTTGGCTGGCCGTATACGCGGAGCGAATTCAGGAAGTACTGGTGGTTTAAGAGGAGAAAACAACAGAACGACAACCAAGTGAAAACGAATAACGATGGAGAAACATGAAAAAATGGGTGCCAATGTTTCGATGTGGAGGGCAAAAGGAACAACTATTTCAGGGAGAAAGTGTCCGTGCACGGCATTGCGCCCTCGTGCAGCTTGGTAGCGCCTGCCTACAGTTTGGCAGCGATGTTATTGCTGTCTGTACACTGAGAGCTGTGCCAAGTACAGTTGTAATCACCAGGCGTTGTATTTGGGGGAACATGGCAAGAGTCTGACGAAAGATACACCAGCTCCTTTACACAAAGAGAATGGTCGGCCTTCCTCCTCGATCTCTCGACCAACAGAGTAGAGTACCTTTTCCCGTCTCTTGCGATTGACCCCCGCATCACTTATTGTTCGTTACGGGGAGTCGAGACGCGGCTGGATAGCCTCCATCCCCAGCACTGACATCTCTACTCAACCCCTTCCATCTCCAACGGCAAATCGTTGTGCAGCTGTGACAAACAACTCCTCTCTCCCCGCTGGCACCTCTCCGTGCCCACTTCCTACCCTTTATCGCCGTTGCCGTCAGAAAGAACCTTCACGCACCCCGTTACGTGTCCACATGAGTTAGCCGTTACCACAAGGCGCAGAAATTCAGCATAGAATACTCAACATTTACCTGACGACCCCTCCCCCCCGCCCCCTCGGAATAGAATATGCAACAAAAAAACTGACAGAATGCCCCCCCGTCACGCACCAGTTTAGCGCTCGTATGTCACCAACCTTAACCACCCCCAATCCACAACATACTGCTACCAATCTGACAGACCCCCCCCTCCCCCCCCTCTGCCCCCGCCCTCCCTCGGATAGACCCCCTCTCTCCCTGATTACTGCAGGAAGTGGCATCTTCCTTCCAGCGATGCACCCGTGCTAAACCGGCGGCAAGGCTACTGCCGGGCAGAAGGATGAAAAGGACACCCTATTTATCATTCAGATCTTTAATTCCTTAGTGCTTTGACCCTCAAAAAATTTAAAAGTAATCCTGTGTGGTATCTTGGAGGTCCTTGATTGAAGAAACTATGAAAAGGATGCTAGCTTCAGATAGGGAATGTGTCTTGCCAATCGGGCTGTGCATGAGGTGATAGCCTGATAGGGTCTAAAAAGATGACCCTTCGCCCCCCCCCCCCCCCTGCCCCCTCGAATAAAAAAAATCAAATCAAATCAAATCATGTGGACTGATGGACCAGGGATTGGATATTAAAGTTGATTGGAACAGATACAATGCACTTGGTCTAATGTTACCTGAAAGGCTATGAAGACTACCAAGACCCTATCTATCATCCAGATCATGATTCTCAGAAAATTTTACTATTCACCATTAAGACTTACCAGGTAAAAAAAAGATTAAAAAAAATAAAATAAAGGTAATGGTTGAAAAACCAAGGCTACTTGGGTCGCTTGGCTGTGCAGCACGGCCGTGCAGCCCGATGCATAAAAAATAACAAAAATGGACAAGAATATTGCAAAGGCTACCCAACCGTCCTCGGCCTGTTATCCCCGTTGTACCCTTGATCCGTTGAGCGACAGCCTTTCCACACGGGGCCCCGGATCACTCTGGCCAACTTTCGTCTCTGTTTGATTAACTTGTAGGTCTCACAGTCAGGCATCATTAGTTTAGTACTTACTTTCAAATCCTTCGGTCTTAATTGGCCTCTTTCTGTCTTATTTGCTTCTTCATCCAGCCGAACATGCATGAATGGGTCGCAGGGCAACTCGCCCCGGGGGTCATCTGCACGAGGCACCCAGTGCGGGCACAAATCACTGCCCTTTCTTTTTCCCTTTTTTCTTTTTTTGTTAGTGGGGCACCTCTGCGCCCACCTGGCTCTGTCGGAATCCGGGCTGGTTTTCGTTTATAAACCGCTCTCAGGTTTCGCCCCAACCAGACTCAAACAAACTCAGAATCTCAGAAGAGAGTCAACCAACAGACTAGAAACAGACTCACAACACACTTTCAAAAAAGTTAGACCAGGTTGAAAAGTTGAAAAAAAAAAAAAGAAAAAAAAAAAAGGACTTGTCCTTTAAGACGTCGCGTTAAATTTGGAAACGATACAGAGAAAGAGAAGATTAGCATGGCCCCTGCGCAAGGATGACAAGCATAAATCGAGAAAGGGTCCCAGGTTAAAGGCTTAAAGCGCTAGTGCCTTTGTCGGTTCGGAAAATAGTGAGTGGGCCTCCGACCTTTCAGGAGGGCCGAAACGAAACGACGGCCGCCGATCAGATTTATCAACGGCAGCCGTTGTCGGGCCCGGTCTTCTAAAACTTCCGGACTAGGCTAAAACTTCTCGAAACCGGACGGCAAAGGTACTAGTGGTTAAAAATAAATAAATAAATAAATAAAATCAGACAGACTCAAATGGACCTGTAGACTAAAACAGACTGAAAAGAGACTCAAACAGACTCGAGTAGATTCAAAACAGACTCAAATAGAATCGGAACTGCGAACAGAATCAGACAAGACCATACTTGCAAGCGGGCCGTCCGGGCGGTTTCGCACGTGCAGCAGACTGCTGGACCGGACAAGTGCGGCGCACGAATGTGCGGCCACGACCAGTGACGCCCCACCCCCCACCCCCAAAAAAAAAAAACGCCCCTGTCCGGTCCGGTCCGGGTCCGTCTGGTCCGGGGGGAGGGTGCCGCACGCGGCAAAGCGGACCGGACGCTCGTCCGGTCCGTCTGCTTGCAAGTATGGACAAGACTTAAGCAGACCTGCCGACACAAAACACTCGAAACATCTCAAACAGACTCAAGAACCAGACAGACTCAAACAGACATACGGACTCAAGCAGACTGAAAACCGGCCCCCGAACAGACTCAGAAGTCCAGAAGTATTCGCAATATAATGTTAAGAATCACATGAGCGTGACGATCGTCACTTCACAAAAACAGCCTCGCAGTCCCCGAATTACAAAACTAGAGAATGCTTTTGGGACTTTGTCGCGACTCAGCAAGCTGCGCCCAGTGGACCAGGCTGGCCACTGGGTCTGAAACCGGTCCGTAGTCGAAAGGAGCAAAATCCGCCCGGCACCCCGCCCGGGCCGTCTGCACGGCCAGGCGCCCCGGCGGCTGGGCAACTTTCCAGACAGATTTGGCCGCCCTGTGCAGCAGGCCAAACAGTGTAGTGAAAAACTACCGTCTTCACCCATGTAGAATGTGTCACATGGGACACGGGACACGGTTTCCAGCAGGTGGCCCATTGGTCATATGGGACACGGGACCCGGTTCCCAGCAGGTGGTCCATTGCTCATATGGGACACTGGACCCGGTTTCCAGGAGGTGGTGCATTTGTCATAAGGGACACTGGACCTGGTTTCCAGCAGGTGTTGTTCCCCACCAATAGATTGGAGCAGCTGGCGGGGGCCTCGATAGAGGGGGGTGCTTTTATCACCTCCGCTACTGGACGAAGACGGCTCAAACCACTAGTACCTTTGGCGCGTGGGAAAATAGCGGGCCTCCGGTGAGCCTCCGACCTTTTCGGAGGCCGAAACGAAACGACGGTCGCCGATCAGATTTATCAATGCCAGCCGTCGTCGGGCCCGGCCTCCGAAACTTTAGGAGTTTGGGAAAACGTCCACTTTTAAAACAAAACACGCGTTATTGCTGTATCCAGACTGAATAGAATACCTGATCATTATTGCTGTATGTAGACTACATGTAGACCAGACTACATCTATAATGCCCAGGCATTCTATTCAAATGAAGACGGTAGTCAAGAATACCTGGTCATTATTGCTGCATCTAGATTCTAGACTAAATGTAGACCCAAATACATCTATAATGCCGGATGCGTCTTGTCAATGGCGTTGCGTGGTGTGGTAGGACTGAAAAGGCGAGTCCAGTCACCGTTCAGATCTTGATTTTATGAAGGTTTTACCGCTGAAGATTGAAAAATAAACTTGTGCAATGTCATGGATGCCAAGTCAAATGAACAACAACTCAAGCAATGCTCAGCGTAATTGGGAAGATGGGCGCTCTACAGACGCAGAATTTCAAGGCATAAAAGGTCAATGAAACAGATCTGAAAGAGCCTTATAAATTATAATATTGAAAGAAAAAGCTCGTATATTTTTTTGTTCTAAAAAATGTTAAAAAAAACTGTTCTTAATGTTCCTCTCAAGCTCACTGATGAGGTGAATCCATAGCAGATCCAAAATTCCAAATCTCTCTCTCTCTCTCTCTCTCTCTCTCTCTCTCTCTCTCTCTCTCTGTGTGTGTGTGTGTGTGTGTGTGTGTGTGTGTGTGTGTGTGTGTGTGTGTGTGTGTGCCTCTGTCTCTCTGTCTCTCTGTGTGTCTGGCCCTGATTATACTTATCGGTCTGTAGACTCTGTATATGTGGAATGAATATGAAATTATAGGATGACTGTCGTAAAAACTTCGGAGAGTGAAGTTCAGCAACCAGCATGGATGGGGTCTGTGATAGCGACCTGGCAGGCTGGCACCTGCATCCCACTGAAACCCGTGATGCCTGATGCAATGGGCTTGGTCCTGCCAGCAGCTGGACGAAATGGACAGCCTACTTGGAGCTTTCAGACCTGAACGATACAATGGCTTCAACGGGTGAATGCTTGATTCAAAATTTAGCAGGTCGTGATGAGTCTCGAGAATGAAAGTTGGAAATTAAATGTCCGTCATGGGTTGATCATCGTAGATACTGAGTCTTTTCTAATTCCCTGCACATTGAATGTTCTGCGGCCTTTCAATTGCTGTCAAGATGGAAAATTGTGGGACGTTGGCAGCCTGATCATAACGGCAGCCGCAGTCTTGTCTTCAGATGAGGCAGGTTGCACGAGTCCACTAACGGTCCTTTAGAAGTATGTCCGGGATGAATCCTGCACGCGTGTGCATATTTGTGTGAGATGCAGAGAAACACGCACCCACACACACCCACACCCACCCACACCCACCCACCCACACACACACACACACACACACACACACACACAGAGAGAGAGAGAGAGAGAGAGAGAGAGAGAGAGAGAGAGAGAGAGAGGTGCACAGGCATACACATACAAAGGACAGACAACTATGGCATTAGCACATACGAGACCTGAGAAACTAAAGGTGCCTTGCTCACCATCAGCTGGATAATGTCGTCACCAATCATTTTGCTTATTGTGCTTGAAATTCCAATGATTTGAGCAATTGCTGAATTGTTGCATTTCCAATGTGCCCTCTTCCCATCAAGGATGCGTGCAACAGGGCTGAGGGCGATTCACAGCGCAGAGAACTTAGCCACTCCACTTCAGAGGCAGTAGTTACAGCTCTTCCCTTCGCTGTCGCTGTGAATTGCCCTCAGCCCTGTTATTTAGAGTCTTAGAGATATTTTTGAGTATTCTACTATTCTTGATAGTGTACATTGTTGAGGCGTTGGTATAGGCTTACAACACTACAGTTTTTTTAGATGCGACAAAGGATGTGAATTCAATAAACTTCACAAAAAGCGGAAAACAAAAGCAAAAGCAAAAGCAAAAGCAAAAGCGAAAGCAAAAGCCTCGATAAAGGCGACTTCAAGAGATTCGCAAAGAAAAAGGTTCAGATTCTTCAGAAAGAAAGAACAGGTTCATTAGTCATGTACTAAGCCAATGTGGTGAAGGGCACAGACACACATGCGAGTCGATGGGACTGCTAGTGAACGGAGAATGAGTTCAAATCCCTCTGGAGTCTGGTGATTCGGTGAACACTTTCTTTTTTTTTTTTTCGGTGAACACATTAACGAAGTTAGTTTTTTCTTCCCTCCCCCCACCCCCCCGAAAAAAAATCCAAAAGTTAGTGGCTACAGCCGCTACACCCCTTTTTTTTTGTTTGTTTAGAGGTCCAGGGCGTGGTAGAGTGTGGTGGCCAGGCCTCAGGAAGTGCCCGTAGTACTCGTCCATTGGGAGGTCAGATGGGTTTCAGGGACCCAGGGGGAGTCACTTCAAGATGGCACCATGATGGTACCATGACCTATGCACTACTGCTCAGATCGCAAGTCGTGATCTGTGCCAATGCTGGACTAACCCGAACGTCTTTTTTGTGCAGACACTACCGTCCCATAACTCTAATGTTAAGAACGACCCGGGCACAGGTGGGGTCCATGCATATGAAGTCATCCCCCATCTGTGACTCATCCCGCAGACTCTATGGGCAGCGAAATGCCCTTGGCACTAAGATGCGAGGTCCCGCCCTCCCCTATCCTAAGCATGATGCTTTCCTACCCAAGGCTCCCCAAGAATCCACAATCCCGACTACTTCCCCCTATGAGAATTCCCATGGACCCCAGCCTGGATGAAGCACCACCCGTAGGCATCGTGAGATACCTGTGGGATGAGAAGTACCCAGTACCTATCCCATACTAACACCCAGTGTGTGCGTAGGATTATCCCCCCCGAGATGGGCCCTACCGTAGTCTAAGTTCGCTCTGTGTGGATTCTCGTATGGGTGCCATAGTGACGGGAAACATACTGGCTGTACTCAGGTTCACCCGTGGCACCGCCACGGACTAGTACATACTGACGAGACTGACAGATCGGAGGGTCCAAGTGGCCACGCAGAGGTGTCGACAGTTTCGACAGTGGCCGCTACACCCTTTTAAGAAATAAGAATGAAAAAGTTTCAAGAGTTACATCCTCTCTTAATTGTCAGTTGACCTTGATGCATATGAAAGGCCTCGCTCCACTACTCACCAAAATGTGCAAAATGAGAATGAATCTTCCGCCAGAAAATGGGAAGATACACCGCCATATTTTCTGTCTTTGGTGCACGTGGTGGGTAGTGGAGCGAGGCCCTGTGTCCTGTATTGGGATACCGATGCAGGCCCTTTAGTACCACCACAATCTCGTTCGTTAGCAGTAGATTGAGATCTGTTCGATTTCTGGCACGTGAAAGTAGGCACCAATCCCACCCCACTGGGAGCTCGGAGCCATTGGGGCGGGATTGGCTATTGGTTACTGTGCTGATGTAATTTGCCTTGGGCACTGGGCCCTGTTATAATATACAAAAGGGAAAGTAGGCACCAATCGTTCTGTATACAAGTTCAAACTTTGAACCAAGGTCATCTCCTCTCTTTGCTCCTTTTTTTTTTTTTTTTTTTTTTTTAAAGCCCCGGGTGTTGTAGAGGCCAAGGACCAGACCCGCGGTGATTGCTGGCATCGGCAGCCAATGGTTGTCCTGACAGGATAGGCCACCTACCCTACCCATCCCCACGTTAACACTCCCAGCGCACCCCCCGTCTCTACTATCCTACCTCAGTGTGACCTACACTCAGAGGACCTTCACTCAGAGGACCATCACTCCTTCTTCAAGCTCTGTCAATGACCCTTCCTTTGCCGAGCCTAGAAACACCCTGCGCTCCAAAAACAAATGAACGGGCGTGTTTTCTTTTGTGGCTGGCCCCACAGCCATTTAGCTCTGGTAGGCCGTGCCCAGGAAGTTGAGGCACACGTTAGCGGGTGTGTTGTGGAAAAAGTGCTGGGAAATGGACTGGTGGTTTTAAAGGGAATAGTGGGTTTACACTGGGAGAGGAGGAGGATCTGGACCACAGGGAGCAGGAAATGCATCACAGGGAACAAATGGACCACAGGGAGGGAACACGGAGGGAATGAACCAGAAGGAACAGGGAATGGACCACATGGAACAGGGAATGAACCATAAGGGACAGGGAATGGACCTTGGATGGAGAGGTGGTTATACCTTTTTCCAGTTTCTTCATGGTAGAGCCTGATTGTTGGTCGCTTTGGTTGGTGAACCGATTGGACTGCAGCGTCACCTAGCCCTGCCTTCTCAGGCGGAATGCCATCAAAGCAGCAAAGAGCAATGATACACACCAATTCAAAAAGCCGTTGAATTAGACTTAGTGGATAAGTGAAACATGATAGGCATCTCGGCAAGGAGGGAGGGTGGTAGGGACGGAGGGGAGGAAGGGAGGGAGGGAGGAAGGGAGGGAGGAAGGGAGGGAGGAAGGGAGGGAGGGAGGTAAAGGAGGTAAGAAGGGAGGGAGGAAGGGAGGGAGGGAGGTAGAGGAGGTAAGAAGGAAGAATGGAGGAAGGAAGAGAGGGAGGGAGGACAGGAGGGGAGAAGGGGAGGAGGGAGGAAGGGACGAAGGGAGGAAGGGAGGAAGGGAAGGAGGAAGAGAGGGAGGGGAGATGGGGAGGAAAGATTGGATGGTAGGGTGGGAGGAGGACCAAATGGAGGGAGACAAGAAGGTAGGGAAGAAGGGAGGGAAGAAGGGGGGAAAGAAGGGAGGCAGAATGACCTTGACCAAATGCAGAATCCACCAGGAGCCACAGCCATAGTTACGATCCAGCAAACGTTCATGCAATTCCAACACACTTTGGGCGATCACAATGATTTGAAGAAGCTTTCCTCATGATCGAAATTGAACATGCACACTAGAGTACTTCATATAACAGAGAATTTTTTGTGTCCACAGAGGCACCCAGGAGTCCTGATTACAGAGCAGCTGATTTCCTCTTCTATGGCTTGCTGAGCTTGTTGGCAGTTGTTGCAACCCAAATTGGTGGCTTTTCCTTTGAAAGGAGCATCTAGCGCTCCAGGCCAACATGAGAACCTGCAGTCTCATGTGTGAGAAGAGGTTGGTGGCGAAGGGAGAAAATTGCGCCATCAAATGTTGGTTCTTGCCGAGCAGCAGGAGACCAATGTCCCATAGGATATGCCAGCCTGTGAGGGAGTGGAAAGTTGCGTCCCACCACTGTCACAATTGGGTGACCATCGGGCAGGTTAACAGGCAGTGTTCCAATGTTGCCCGGGCTGGCGGACTCGATCTGCCGCACAGTACGTACAAATGGGGGACACAAGCCCCTTCTGTTTAAGGTATGTTCTTGCCACTAGCCAATCAGGAGTGGGCAAAGAGCGATGGAGGATCTTCCATTGCAGGGCTCTAAGATTCGTAGGCATGATGTTGGAGCACTTGGCCAAGAGCAAGTTCTCCATCAGTTGTGGATCCGTTGGCGAGTCTCGCGCCCATCTGCGAGTTATTGTTTGGTCGATTGGTACCCGTGGGCTCGAGGCTCTGTAGCCCCCTTTGATAGTATAGTCCCAAATGTGCATCGACTTTGGTCCGGGCCACTCCCATTCCCCCGAATCAAAAAGCAATCAGATTCTGGCTAGCGGTATTGTGGCTTCGTACACAAAGGGGCCCTCCTGGTGGTCCCCTACAACACATGTGTGCTGCTAATGCATATGAGGCCACCCAACTTTCGTTGCCATCTAGGTTGTCATTGTGTGTGAGTTTGGAAAATCTAGCGCCTGGCAAGTTGGGCTCATAAGCTTCCAGTGAGCACAACCCGTCTTCATTTTGTTGAACCCTATATACTGTAAGCAGGAGGGGCAAGTCGGCATGCCTAATCACCCAATCATCTTGGTGGATTGGGACCATTCTTGAGAGCTAGCCGCCAAGCTAGGGGGAGAACCTCCCTCACCTTGAGAGCTTTCTCCTCCACATTTTGGCATGTTTAGTCTTGAGCCGCAGCTGGTCTGCCGTGACCCACTTTTCCGTGAGGAGCGGTTCCCACAAGTCACCTACCGTAAAACCACCTATTTTTGCTTATGCAAGCCAGTGAGAGTTTGTTGTTAGCGAGAAGGGGTTGCCATCTTCGCCCTGGATATAGGGGTTGCCGAAAAGCTGTTGCCTCCATATGTTGCGCCATTTGTTGGGAGGCTGTTTCTGCTGTGGGCCACGTCTCCTTCGAAGTCTGAGCATATAAGGCCACAAGGGGTCCAAAAGCAGAATCTGATCCAACCTAGCTGCTTGTGATGGAGTGTTCTTCTGTCTTTGTCGCATGGGGGAGGGTATCGTCCAATGCTTGTTAGTCAGTCACTTGAGGGGATGTAGCCCGTTGGTTGTTGTCAATTCCAGAGCCAGATTGGTAATCTGCAGGCAGGCCAAGGGAGCCCGTGGAATGTCGTTTCTTACCAGTAGCCTAATCAGGACCTTGAAGATTAAGACTTCACTCTCCCTCTCCAGATCTAGTATTCCCAACCCCCCTTTGGACCTTGGTTGGGTGAGGGTTTCCTAACACAGTCGATGCACACACCCTTGATCTTTGGCGTTATTCTTCTAGAGGTATATCGTTAGCGCTTTTCTCAACCTGGTATAGCGGCCAAACAGCCAGTTTGTACCAGATGGTCGCCAAAGATGCACACACCCTTGATCTTTGGCGTTGTTTATTGCTAGGGCCCGTCCCACCAACGAGGTATGTAACCCCCTTCCATTTTGCCAGTCAACTCACTGCCATGTTGACCAGCATATCCCCATGGTCTTGCGGAGGCCCCAACACAGTCAATCTTAACCCAAGGATTCTGATGGCATCTTCCTCCCGCACCCATCCCACTGTCAGATGGAGGGGCGGGGGCTCTCTCTGGGGATGGAGCAACCAACTTCCGTTTTGGAGCCCCAATTGACTTTCATGTCAGCTGCTAGTGAAAATAAGTGTATGGCTTGTATAAGGGCACGAGGGCTATTAGGATCTGCTCGTATGAGAACCGTAAGGTCATCTGCAAACAGTGATGTAACCGGGATGAAGTGGCTGGCGATATCGGGGATGGGCTCTTCGCTGATCCCAGGACCGGATCTGATCAGGGAAGCTAGGGCCTCCATCACTATTACAAGTAGGAGCCGTGCTATAGGGACCTCTTGGCGCACCAATCTTGGAAGGTGTATCGGCGGTGATAGGTGGTCATTGAGCATAATATTGATAGTACCAGATCTGTGAACGAGGCTCCCCTAGTGGCAAAATGTCGGGGTGAAATTCATCCTGATCAGACAATGTCCAAGAAGTCCCAGTCATTGTGGTCGTACACTTTCTCAAAGTCGATGAACAAGATGGTCGCTTGGGCCTTTTGCTGGCGTGCGTACTGAATGGTTTCATTGACTAATAGGATGTTGTCTGCTTCGAGTCTGGTTGCCATATGCATGCTGGTCTTTGAGAGTTTGGGCCTCGCCACACCACTCACCAACTGCACAAACTACAAAACTTATGGCGG